GGGGGGGGGGGGGGTAGAGAGGGAGGGGGAGATAAATCAAATCTTAAAATTTTCTTCTGTAAAATGTAAATTTAGTGAAATGAAATAAAGTTTGCGAAAACAAATAAAAATAAATTTAACACAGAAATCTTTCTAAAAATTTTAGTCTAAAAATTTCTATTTCGAAATAATAATAATAATTCTTATTTCATCATCAAATTAAACATCAATAATTGTTAGATTGAGAAATTGTTAGTTATGTTTAAATATAATACCAATTAGCTCGAAATTTTAAAAGTAATGTAAAAATAAGATTATTAGGGATGCATATGGCAAACTGAATGATTGATTTGATTTCGATTCGATTACAGAGTACAGGATTCATAGTACAGAGTACAGGATTCATAGTACAGAGTACAGGATTCAAAGTACAGAAAACATGATTTAGGGTACAGGATTCAGGATACAGAGTACTGGATTAAAAAAATGGATTTAGGAAACTGGATTCAGGAAACTGGATTCAGGCTACAGAGTACAAGATTCCTGATACAGGTTTAAGTATAAAGGTATATAGAAAACAGGATATAGGATGTAGGATGTAGGGTACAAGATATAGGGTTTAGGGTAAAGTAAAATGCATTCACTTTGTTTGTTGATGTTTATTTTTTGTTTTTGTTGTTTACTTTCAAGTTGCAAAGTTAAGAAAAGTTTATAAATTAAGAATCTTTAACGAACAACAATCTCATCTGGAAAACTTTATTTAAGTGACTGTAGTGACTGTAGTGACTGTAGTGACTGTAGTGACTGTAGTGACTGTAGTGACTGTAGTGACTGTAGTGACTGTAGTGACTGTAGTGAAACAAACAAACAAACAAACAAACAGACAGACAGACAAACAGACAAGCCAAATTTATATATAGATTTAGGAGAAAATTCCCTTTAAGTTCCAATTTATCTATGTATTACAGGGGTTCCTGAGAACAGTCCCTTATGTTCCCAGTTTTGTTTATCTATTTATTAAAGGGGTTCCTGAGAATGACAGAGTTTGAGTTTGGAGTAATGAGCCCGAATGCTAGAATCTGTCCTTCCAGTCTTTCCGCTGCTGGATACTAGGGGGAGAGAATATTATTAAAGGGATACGTTACGATTTTGGGGAAAAGGATGGCCAGTGCTTTTAAGAGATATATCACAATTTTAGAGTGAAGCTGGGGAACAATCTAAGCTTCACAATAAAAGTGGATGGGACGGGTGTCAAACTAAAATATTGAAACAAGCGGCAACAATTTGAATTTTGAAATAAAAAAATCGCTTTTATTAAAGAATTATGTATTTACCAAAGATGAAGGAATTTAGTTTGTTGATTATAAGCGAATTGTTGTCGGTTATTTGGCAGCCATCACATATTTGTTTACAAAAAATATCAAAAAATATTTTATAACAATTAATAAACAGTAAGACTTGTTAAAAGCAATTGACTCCAAGGAAATTCAAGACTTGAATTGTTTCTTCTTATTTATTACAAAAAGTATGAACAGGTACATAAATGATCTACATAAAGTTTATGATCGAGTATTGATAACACTCAAACTTGAAGTAAATATGATAAAAAGTTCTTAAAAAATAAGCATCCAACCTGATACGTGATTAGCCCAGTTTTAGATTTCCACTCGAAACTGGAGGATTCTAAAGAAATTAATAAAGATGTCACCCGGGACTAAATTGGATCATTATATAAAGTATCACGTGATTAAGCTGAGGGAAAAAGGATGGAAAGAGTAGAAAACAACTAATTCTTTATCTGGAGCCTCCTTTGGTTCTTCATAATGATGTAATCAGCACATTTGCTAATTTAATCTGTCTCAAACATTTGTTGCAAATGCACTGCAATGTTTCTAGAAACAAGCATACAAACTCCTGGTGCAAAAACATTAAAAAAATTTTACTGAAAAACTAATTAGACTTACAACTTTTTGTAGAACCTTATATAATATAAGGATTAAGGATAATGGATTGCCAGAATTAAAATTTACTTTTCTTCAAAAATCAGTAAATCCAAAATTGAAAACAGAAAACTTAGCAAAAAATAAACAGTTTTATCCTAAAAGTCTAGTTTTGTAAATCTCAAAAATTAACTTACCATCCATACAGGTTGGTCCAGTAAATGATGTTAGCTCACAATCACATATAGCAGTCGGGGTAGGGCGTACTCGACACACCCCCTGGTTTCCACAGGTGGACTTTCCACACTCTATCCGGTGCTCTAGGTTAATCAGACATTTTTGGGAAATATTTTCATTTAATGTCTGTTTTGAAGTACATTGGTAAAATCATTTAAAAGTTTTTAAAAGGTAAACAGATATTTAAATGATTAAGAATGTTCATAGCAATTCTAAAAGAGACAATAAGCCTAATTTGAAGTGACCCTCCATGCAAAAATGGTAATGCCAGATTCACAACGGTACCCATAAAGGCGCTATAGCATTGCTACTGCTGCAGAGGAAAGCATATAGGAATTATCAGAATTAAACACTTTTAAACCTAGAAAAACGAAAATATTTTCCACACTAATGTTCAGATAAAGGTTTCAATGGTACCGTTGTGAATCGAACACTTGAAATTACACGTTAAGTCCCTTAAACTGTTTTCACTTTCATTTATTTATTTATGTATTTATTTTGTAACACCTTTAAACTTGATCCTAAGAAAGTTGCTCTCTAGCCTTAAAATATTTATATCTTTAGTTTGCGTCATAACTGTATCTTCTAATATTTCATCGTTAAAAATTGTAATTGCGTTGTTCCTTGGCATTTTCTCTCATACTTCTGTATAATTAATTAAATAAATATAATATTTAAACCTAACCCTTTCAGAAAATATCATGAGATCGTAACAAATGATATTTGTTGGGCTTTCGCAATTGGCGTTTGACCCTGGAAATGAAGCCAATAAAATATTTAATTAATTTCCTGTTAAAAGTTGAATATTTAATGTAAACAAGGAAAAAAATGGGATTTTAAAAAAATTCCATATTTTGATTTTCTCCATTACTTAAAATTAAATTCAGTGCTTAGTAACCGGATCCATTGAATCCGCAACATTTTAGCTCTTTGGATCCGGATCCATTGAATCCGCAACATTTTAGCTCCTTGGATCCGGATCCGTTGAATCCGCAACATGTTAGCTTCTTGGATCCGGATTGAATTCGCAACATTTTAGCTCCATGGATCCAGATCCATTGAATCCGTAAAATTTTAGCTCCTTGGATCCGGATCCATTGAATCCGCAACATTTTAACTCCACGGATCCGGATCTTGGTCTCCAAAAATATGCAGATTCACGGATCCTGATCAAATTAAAATAGCTCCTGAGTTAGAACTAGAATTACATCACTTTTTATCGTTTTTTTGTGGCCGAACAAATGATTTTCTCAGCCCAAAAAAAACTGTGCAACCCCTTCTTCCCTGGACTCTGCTCATAACTTGAGCAAGATGAATAATACCTTAAGTTTGGTAAGTTCTCTAATCCTTGTCTATGGTTAGAACGGGATTATACTAATCCTTCTCTTTACTCTTATAAACTTCGTATTCACATCTTCAAACCTTAATACTATACACCACACCAGACCCCCAACAAAATCCAATTAAAACGAAAAAAATAATAAATAAAAAACTTTTCAGATTTCCTTTTCTTCATTCATAGTTTTGTCATACAAACTGTTATCAACTGCATTTTTTATTTTATGGAAATTATATTTTTTTTCGAGTTTGTTATCTTTTCTTTTTACCAGTTTGGATAAAAGTAAACTATCTCATATATATATCTAATAAAAGTAAACTATCTCATATATATATATATCTGATAAAAGTAAACTATCTCATATATATATATATCTGATAAAAGTAAACTATCTCATATATATATATATCTGATAAAAGTAAATATATATATATATCTGATAAAAGTAAACTATCTCATATATATATATCTGATAAAAGTAAACTATCTCAACTTAGAACTTTTAAAGCAAGCTAAGAACATTCCGGAACATTCCTAGCTAAAGATCGGACATACAAACAAACAAACAAACAGAGATGACTAAAGGGTGAGTAAACATTTTTCAGGACTGTTGAATATATTCTTATAAAAGCTGAACCACGATGTTTACATGACTTAAACAGTTTATTGGTATAAGGTATATATATATGTACTACTTAGGTTGAAGTCTTATCAAAATAAAACTTTGTTTTGATAGTCTTTATGTATACTTGTTCTCCTCCCTTGGTGATGACAGTTGCCATGCCCCTGGGGATTGACTCAATCATTTTTCTACACAAAACCTTATCCCAGTCCTAATATGCCAATAGAAAACATTTGGGCAATCAAAATTCATCAGCAGAGGTTGGACGAGAAGAAGATCACAAACCTCAACTCCCTGATGTTTAACATCAAGCAGAGGTTGGATGAGAAGGAGATCACAAACCTCAACTCCCTGAAGCTTAACATCAAGCAGAGGTTGAATGAGAAGGAGATCACAAACCTCAACTCCCTGAAGCTTAACATCAAGCAGAGGTTGGATGAGAAGAAGATCACAAACCTCAACTTCCTGAAGCTTTACATCAAGCAGAGGTTGGATGAGAAGAAGATAACAAACCTCAACTTCCTGAAGCTTTACATCAAGCAGAGGTTGGATGAGGAGATCACAAACCTCAACTCCCTGGTGCTTAACATCAAGCAGAGGTTGGATGAGGAGATCACAAACCTCAACTCCCTGATGCTTAACATCAAGCAGAGGTTGGATGAGAAAGAGATCACAAACCTCAACTACTTGATGCTTAACATCAAGCAGAGGTTCAGAGGTTGGATGAGGAGATCACAAACCTCAACTCCCTGATGCTTAACATCAAGCAGAGGTTGGATGAGAAGGAGATCACAAACCTCAACTCCCTGATACTTAACATCAAGAAGAGGTTGGATGAGAAAGAGATCACAAACCTCAACTCCCTGATACTTAACATCAAGCAGAGGTTGGATGTGGAGATCACAAACCTCAACTCCCTGGTGCTTAACATCAAGCAGAGGTTGGATGATGAATCACAAACCTCAACTACTTGATGCTTAACATCAAGCAGAGGTTGGATGAGAAGGAGATCACAAACTTCAACTCCCTCCCTGGTACTTAACATCAAGCAGAGGTTGGATGAGGAGATCACAAACCTCAACTCCCTGATGCTTTACATCAAGCAGAGGTTGGATGAGAAGGAGATCACAAACCTCAACTCTCTGATGCTTAACATCAAGAAGATATGGAGGGAACTTGACAGTGAAAAGGCGTTTTGTTGACTCAATTTCATAGTTTTGTGGGTCCACTGTAGTACAGTATAGAGTAAACAGTATAGAAGCACAATTCCCTTTATTCAAATTATAACCAAACCACCCATTAATATAATGATTTAGCTAGGATCTATCATTTATCTTTTATTATTCTTATTGGGTAATTGATACAAATTTTTCAGACAATTTGTAAACACTATAAAGAGCCTTCATTTTAGAGAGGAATGCTTAATCCACTAAGATACTTTTAAACCCTTATCTGATCAATAATAAGCAAGAAATAGTCGTTAGTCTTGAAAAGTGTTAAATTCTGACAATATTGCTCTTTAATTCATATTGTGTTGAAATATATACACAAGTAGTTTTTAAGAGAACCTACATTATTAATAATCAATTTTTATTCAGACAAAGGTTTTAATAAACTTTCCACTGTACATAAGCAGGGTCACTCAAAATGATGTCTAAAGTCTCTTTATATTTAATTTTAAAACTGACCTTCACACCCTTCCTTTACATGAGTTGATGGCAGAACTGCAGATTTAATAGGATCAATATACTCTCCACTCAGCTCCAGGCTTCCTATACAACCCTGAACATAGATCTGTATAATACACTCCTATACAACCCTGAACATAGATCTTTATAATACACTCCTATACAACCCTGAACATAGATCTTTATAATACCCATACAACCCTGAACATAGATCTTTATAATACACTCCTATACATCCCTGAACATAGATCTTTATAATACCCATACAACCCTGAACATAGATCTTTATAATACACTCCTATACATCCCTGAACATAGATCTTTATAATACACTCCTATACAACCCTGAACATAGATCTTTATAATACACTCCTATACAACCCTGAACATAGATCTTTATAATACACTCCTATACAACCCTGAACATAGATCTTTATAATACACTCCTATAAATCCCTGAACATAGATCTTTATAATACAACCCTACATACAACTCTGAACATAGATATTTATAATACACCCCTACATACAACCCTGAACATAGATCTTTATAATACACCCCTACATACAACCCTGAACATAGATCTTTATAATACACCCCTACATACAAACCTGAACATAGATCTTTATAAGACACCCCTACATACATCCCTGAACATAGATCTTTATAATACACTCCTACATACAACCCTGAACATACATCTTTACCGTTACAACCCTGAACATATAGATCTCTGTAATAAACACCTGGATAACCCTGAACATGTGGCTTTAAAATCGTTTTTAAGAAAATCGAGCCCTTCTATGAAGATTTTGCCAATATTTTTTACATCGACTTGATTCTATAATACTCTTAGATTTGCTACCCCCTTCAAAGCTCAGAAACATTTCTTGTATTATGTTTCACTAAATCTTTCATTCTGTTCAAACAGATTTAATCATTACTGAGAGATCCAAAGATACAATGTACAAAACATTCTTTGTCGTTAAAAAATGTTTAAACAATAATTTTTTATAGAGCTAGCGTCCTACTTAAAGACAAAAAAAGGACCCACAAACTTTCATATAAATATTCAATTGGCTTTATCCTTGCTGACTAACTTGGTGCACAAAGGAAATGTACATACAGCTTATGTACACTTCCTGTCTACACTTCATGTCTCCTTCCTTCTTTCTGAAGTTGATGTACACTTTCGGTATATATCTTAAATATACTTCCTGCCTACTTTTGATGGAAACTTCATGTTTACACTTGATGTACATTGTACACTTTCTGTCTACTCTTGGTGTACACTTTCAATATGTTAAGGTACTGTACATTTCCTGTCTCTATTTCATGTATATTTCCTGTCTTCTCTTGATGTAAATTTTCTGTATTACGTTAATGTACACTTCCTGTCTTGAATTGATGTACACTTTCTGTCTAATTTTGGTTTAAATTTGATGTGCATGCTTACTTCCTGCATATACTATCCCTGTATAAACTTGAAAGTTGCACAAGACTAGAAAACTAGAAAATAGAAAGTTTATTCAAAATTTTCTTTCTTTGTCGTGAAGTTCTAATATCTTTTTCCTCTCCATTGTTGCCCAGTTTACGGAGTTGAACCAACAGTAAAACATAATCTAATTTCTAGGCACACCAGGATACAGGACTAACAACAGGACACAGGACTAACACCAGGATACAGGACTAACAACAGGATACAGGACTAACACCAGGATACAGGACTAACAACAGGATACAGGACTAACACCAGGATACAGGACTAACACCAGGATACAGGACTAACAACAGGATACAGGACTAACACCAGGATACAGGACTAACAACAAAGTAAGGGGGGTGGGCGACAGTAAAAATACATAAATTTGATTTATTTGAAGTAAAAAATATTAAGATTTTATTATTTTCCTCCAAAAATGTTCAGGTTTATTGAATAAAAACTATCTTGGGAACTTATCTTCGACTGGAAAACTAAACTTTCTCTATAAATGCCAACAAACTCAATTTAGAATTTTTAAACCAAGCTAAGCACATTCTAATGCGCCCGGTAAAAAAAAACAATACAATCGTACAAACCACATGGGCACGGGCATCCTCACAAACTAAAGACGCATGCGCAATGCGCATGGGCAACAGCACAAACTGACAACAAACGGGCACGGGCAAGGTTGGATATTTCTGCATATTTTCAAATACAATAATATGAAAACTGATAGTTTTTGTAAAGTTGAAAAGATATTGTTAAGATGATATCTAATGTCAGATCTGAACAGATTCCTTTCAATATATTTAGAACCAACTCTATTCAAATCTGTTTTGTTTCTCCACCCATACAACTCAACTTTTAGACAACTTGATAATAGAAAACAAACTTATAGAAATACTTTGAAATATGCTTTTATACAAACAATATATTTAGCGTAATCATCATAGATAAATAAATAAACATAGATAGCTTATGTACGCAAAATTACCAAGAATTGTACAGTCCGCGAACTCATACTTCTAGGGGTCAAAGTGTACTTCAATGATAAGCGGTGTGGTTTGGTGTTTTAATGGATTTCATAATAGAATGTAAAATAACTCCGGGAATGGAACTATTTGAGCAACAATATTTCACTAAGCAAGATATCATATTAACAAGAACTGAAGAAGGACATGAGAAGGACTAAACTAACTTAAATTTCTCTCTACAGAACTCATGCACACCACAAGTGCTCAATGACATAAGAACAGCCAATGTTCACAACCGACCTAGGTAATCTATGTATGTAATAGGAATATCTTTAAAACATCTCTGTACATTTATATCTTTCAAGATGAAAAATGTCGTCTTATGCGCAATCTATCTTTATCTATGGTAATCATTGACATTTTTTATTAGAAAAATAGAAGGATAAGCAAGAAAAGGGTGATAAAACGGTTGATAAAGTGATGTTCTTTCATTTCTTTTATCATAAATGCTTAGCGAGAGCAAAATCACCATATATTTCCTAAAATAAGAATATTGCGCGCAATTTAGAGTTTTGCAAAATACTCCGTCAAACCTGTAACTTTACATAGAAACAAGTGCAGTACGTCTTCATCTTAATTTCAAGGAAGAGAAAACGTATAAGCGGGTTGGTAAAATAAACTCAAGAATCAAGACCTGGTGACACTTTAAAGGTGACCTGGTCTCAACTTATCACTGTTCTTATTTACCTTAAATCCGTATTTAGATTGAATCCCTGGCGGAAGATCAGAAAACATCCCAGGGCGGGCTCCACCTGAAATATATGTTTTTTAACCTAAATAATGTTTTTAATTTTTTGTAAATTAATTAGATTATGTAATTTATATTTTACTTCCAACTATCAATCTATCCATGAATTTGAGCACTGTGCAGTCTACAGTGAAATACATGGTGTCCCACAAAATATAACAGTTGGTGAATAGTTTTGAATGTCTTCTTCCATATACTATATTAAATATTAAAGACTTTTTCAAATACTTTTAAATCAATTTTACTATAATATGACTTCCAAAATTCCATGTCATATTTTTTTTTCTTTCTGTTTGGTTTCAAAGAATTTCGCGAATTATGGAAGAAGACATTTAAAACTATTCACCAACTGTCATGTTTCGTGGGAAACCCTGTAGTTATTCAAACTTTCAAGTCTTTATTTAAATGTTGAAGTATTCCGCTTTATTTAGAGAAGAGTGTATATTGTATATTACACTGAGACTGAGGTCTGGGGCCTTTATAACTGTGGAATAGGAAGAGGATTGTTAGACTAACTTTATCATATAAAAAAGGCAAATTACAATTAAGAATTGTGTGCAGTGTGTAGTGTAGACTCAGACTGTAGAAAGACCCATTTCACTTCTAAGTTGATATTAAGCTACTGGTGAAATATTTGCTTTATAACAGCATCAAATACACATAAGTTAGTCGTATTCCTATTCCACAGTTTTATGGGTACCACTGTACATATGTCTAATTTGTTCTCAAAAAGCGTGAAAACGTCTGAATCAAGTGAACCCAAATTTTATGTTTGGAAATTCACTATTTGAATGCTCCGGCCGTGGTAAGGGCTTTTCAAAAATGTATAATTAATTATATTTCGCGCACTTTCTGTTTTTGCACAGTTTTTGCTTTATAACTTGATATTGCAATAAATATTTGAAATTTTGGGTAAACCAGACGTCAGCCTTTTGTTGTTCAGTTGTCCATGTAGAACTATCTCTCCCCTCCCCTCTTCCTATTCTCACCTAACACTGAGAAACTTGACAATTATAGAGAGAAAACTGATAATGATTGAGTATCCAGTATCCACTGTCTTTTCTATCATTCCTATCCACTCCAGGACTACAGGGTTTCATTCTAATATTTTCCAGGACTACAGGGTTTCATTCTTATATTTTCCAGGACTACAGGGTTTCATTATAATAATATTTTCCGGGACTACAGGGTTTCATTCTAATATTTGCTAGGACTACAGGGTTTCATTATAATAATATTTTTCAGGAAACAGGGTTTCATTATAATAATATTTTCCAGGACTACAGATTTTCATTTTAATATATTCCAGGACTACAGGGTGTCATTATAATATTTTTTGGGACTACAGGGTTTCATTCTAATATTTTCCAGGAATACAGGGTTTCATTCTAATATTTTACAGGTCTACAGGGTTTCATTCTGATATTTTCCAGGTCTACAGGGTTTCATTCTAATATTTTCCAGGAATACAGGGTTTCATTCTAATATTTTCCAGGTCTACAGGGTTTCATTTTAATATTTTCAAGTCTACAGAGTTTCATTCTAATATTTTCAGGTCTATAGGTTTTCAATCTTTCAGCATCTCTTGGTTGGGTCTTTCTTTTATACTGAATCTTTTTACAATTTTTATATTTATGTTCTTTCTTAGGTTTAAATAAATAAATAAAGGACAAAGGAGAGGGAAAACAAGATAGACAATTAATCAGTCTGCTCAGAACATTCTTGTTTCTGTCCTCCCTAGTCTTGTATGTGTCCTTCTTAGTATTGTATCTGCCATTTCTTAGTATTGTATCCGTCCTCAATAGTCTAGTATCCGTCCTCCATAGTCTAGTATCACTGCTCACTAGTCTTGTATCCATCCCCCCTAGTCTAGTATCAGTCCTCACTAGTCTTGTATTCCTCCTTCCTAGTCTTGTATCCGTCCTTCCTAGTTTTGTATCCGTCTTTCCTAGTTTTGTATCCCTCCTTCCTAGTCTTTTCTCCGTCCACTCTAGTATTGTATCCATCCTTATTAGTTTTAAACTACTAGTTCTAATCTTACAGTTTTCAATCTTTTGAAAAAAAACGTTGGTTTTCTGCATAAGCTACTTGTGCTCTGTAAATTTAATCTCTATGAGAGAGTCGGTGGTCAGCAGTTCCAAGTTGCTCCTCTGTAAAAAAAACTCTTATCTCAATAAGACGACCTTTTTCTGCGCCCATTAGGAACCTACACTGAACTTTCTTTTTTCCTCCATGGAAAGATAACATTTTGTTTGTTTACCTAAGAATAGAATGCCGTCCAGGTTTAGAGACGAATTTGAAGACGATGTCGTTTGTAATCTTGATGTAGTGTCGTCCAAACCAATCACCACTATTCCATTTATCAATCAGTCTTGAAGCAAGAAATTTGTATGACAAAGCTATCTGAAGTCTAACATATATTACATTATGGAGTTTAAATGCTAAGATAAATGAACCATGGGACCAAATTCAATAAATTGGAGAGGTAGCTGAACTACCTACCCCCGCCCGGTTCTAAACCTCAGTCACCATTTCATATCCCCATGAATCTTTAACTTTGAATCGGTGATTAAAATGTGTAAAGGCTGCAGGTAGTTCAGCGACCAGGTCAATATAAAAATTCGACGCATCATTTGAAAAAACAGGAAACACAAAAAGTTCCTCTTATACCTTACCTTAATATTAACAATTTAGTAAAGAAACAAAGTTTAAAAAGTTCAAAGATAACAGAAAATATTAGGACAGATATTTATTAGTTAAAGATCAAAAAGAACAAATAAGAGAGATGTTCAATGTTCATGAAGTTTTATTCTCTTTTTGTTAAAATTAATCTTTTAATGAATGAATAATCCGACAACTATTCAGTTTTTGGTTTCTTATTTAATTTGAGGAAAACTTCTAATATTATTGCACTTTTGTACTGAAGTAATACAATACAGGGGAATACCCCCACCACTTCAAACTTATTTTAGTTATTATTTACGTTCAAGAGATGGGACGGAGAGAGGGGGACGTGGAGAGATGTGAGGGAGATTGAGACATAATAAAGAGGGGTTTTTAAGAGAATGAAAATGTGAAGTAAGGAATAGAGAGGCCTAAGAATAAAGGTGAGATGAAAGAGAATATGAAAAATGATAAATATGAAAAACAAAGTAAGTACAAAAAGTGAGCAAAATAAGAAAAAATGGAGAGAGAAGGAAAGGTACTGCAAGCTAAGGACATGCATGCAAAGTTGACTAACAAACAAAGAGAAAATCAGAAATTGATAAAAAAAATGAAAAAAAGTAAAGGATATTATACAGGGGCGGACGCAGGGGGGTCCTGTGTCCGCCCCTGATATTATATATATATAAAAGAGGCCCGCACTGGTATGAAAAGTAAAAATAACCGAATCACCCTATAATCTGAATAATATACAACAATGAACATAATTAATAAAATGTTTGTGATTAAAAAAAATTATCCAGACATTATTAGTATAATTCCCGCCAAATATAAGTTAATTTGTGGGGTCTGCTAGTTCTCTGGGTACTGTCAATACAGATACAGATAATAGACATGTTCAACAAATTGGACGAATTAGACAAATTGGAAAAATTGGACGAATTAGACAATGTGAACAGATATATCATACTTATAGTAAACGTTAAAATCAAAAATAGAGATAAATATTAATTGACAAAAACTTTTAGCATTAAAAATTACCGAAAATAAAGTTTACAAAAAAAGATAAAAAAGATGCTAAGATCGACAAAAATCTGTAATTGTAAATCGAGTGCAAGGTAAAAACAAAAAAAGAATTTTACATCCTCGCAAATTTTGTCCAAAGAACTGTTAATGTATATACTAAATGGTTAACCACAAAGAATGAAATAAGACTTGTAACTTGTAGCTTGTAACTTGTAACTTGTATTAAAAAACATCAATGTTAAATTTCAACTGAAAGGGCAGGTCAAATACTTTGAAATTCATGAATAGAAAGTTAGATTGATTAATAAGAAGATAGATTGATTAATAAAGATAGATTGATTAATAAGAAGATAGATTGATTAATAAAAAGATAGATTGAATAATAAAAAGATATATTGATTTATAAGAAGATAGATTACATAAGAAGAAGATAGATGGATAAAGATAGAAGATAATTTTATTAATACAAAGAAAGATTGATTAATAAGAAGATAGCTTAATTAATGAAAAGAACGATTGAATTATAAGAAAATAGATTAATTAATAAAAAGATAGATTGATTAATAAGAAGCTAGATTAAATATGAAGAATTGATAGATTGATTAATAAGAAGATAGATTAAATAAGAAGAAGATAGATTGATACAGAAAGAAGATAGATTTATTAATACGAAGATAGATTTCTCAATAACAAGATAGATTAATAAAAAGATAGATTGATAATAAAAAGATAGATTAATCAATAAGAAGATAGATTGATCAATCAGAAGATAGATTGATTAATGAGAAGATAGATTGATTAATAAGAAGATAGATTAATAAGAAGATAAATTGATTAATAAGAAGATAGATTAATAAAAAAGAAGATAAATTGATTAACAAGAAGATAGATTGATTAATAAGAAGATAAATTGATTAATAAGAAGATAGATTAATAAAAAAGAAGATAAATTGATTAACAAGAAGATAGATTGATTGATGTGAATATTGATTGATGAATGGAAAGATAAACTGTTTAAAAAAATAATTTATTGATAAGTATGACCAACGATTGATTGATTAATTTCCTGTTTCTAGATCAACCCTGGAGATGACAAGAGTATGCCAATCATTATCTGAGACCAAGTTTGGATGATTATCCTAAAATGAAATAATAAAATGTATTTTGATTCTCTCATTTTGTTTTTAATTCCGCCATTTTGTTTTTAACTCCGCCATTTTGTTTTTATTTACAAATGTTTGCTTAATGTAGTTATTTTTATTCATAATGCCATCTTGTTTTCCACTAAGCCGTTTTGTAATAAATCTTTCATTTTGTTCAAATCTTTTATTATTTTAAATTTATCTAAAATTTTAAGTTGGACATATCATGAAATCATGACTTTCCCAAAATTTCTGAATCATCATAATCTTAGCTTGGCATGGCATGTTCTTTGGATAACATTAAAAAAGTTTAATCCAAAATTTTGAATGTTGTAAATGTTGAGTATTCATAATACCTTCTTTAATTCTAAAGGTTTATGAAATATGAATAAATTTTACCTTGAGTTGAATAGTTTTCTTGTCTAGGCTGATAAGAAGATGAATATGTCCATCCATCAATTCAACAGCCAAGAAATCAGTTGCTTTACCACCGTTGTATAGCAACAGACCGTACTTCTCCTGTACAATTAACAGAGTGTACAGAAAACGTGCATATTCTTCAATTTTATATCGATAACTATATTTTGTAAAGTTCAATCCTTTAAACAATGTGTACTTTATTTCATCTAAAAATTGAATAGAAAATTAAAACTACTTAAAAAAAAATAACAGATTTCGTGTAATGTCTGATTTTCTTAGAATTTTTCAGCTAAATTCAGAAACTAAATTTAGAAATTAAAACCATGAAAAAAATTTCTAATTAAATAAGTTTTAGCACGAAAGTCTGATCTGACTTTTTGCACGGTTATTCAGCATTAATTAGTTGATTTGCTTTTAAATTTTTTTTTTACATTCCCGTCTAAATTCAAAGAATATAAGATAAAACAAGAAAGAGGTCTTTGTCACAAACAAAATGGTGTGAATCTTTGATATTTGATAAATTATTTGATTTAACAGAATTCATAGTTTGAAATATTTCAGGTTTACGATATTGGGTTGCAAAGATAAAGAGATTGGAATATCAGAGTTTGTGGCAAAGAATCAATTCCTTTAGAAATATTGGTACTTGGTACGAATTTCTTTTCGTTCTACCCTTGTGTAAATAACATAATAAAAGGTGAGAACAAGAAGGAATAAAAATGTAAGTTTTTAAATTTTCTGATCAAATTATAGTAAAAGTTAGAAAACGGTTAATAATTGCATTTAACTGCGTTTTGTTTGTACATTTCATTAAGATTTGAATATGCAGAAAGAATGTTTGAGCCAGAACACAACTCTACATAAAGAAATTAGTATTCTATGCTTCTGGGTCAGATTTGAAACTAAACCTTCCCTCTCAGAATAAACCTCAAGTTTGAACAACTACACACCAAGAATAATTTATTACATGCTTTCCATAACTTGGAAATCTTCATAACAAAAAAATGAAGATTGAGAATCTTTTAACGAGAAAGAAAAGTTTTGTTGTCCAACTACGGAACATGTATATTTTTCAAGACTTACTTTAGTTCTGAACATTAATCTGATCTCCAGATCAAAATACGTTTTCATCTGAGGTAGACCCAAGAATGTGTTACGTGATGTGAACGTGATGGGCTGGTATGGATCTTCCCGGATTTCTTTAAACTCTGCGGAACGTTCTGAGTTTGTGAGAAGGTGTTCCCGTTCCAGGTCCAGTAAATGTTTCCCGTTTACAATCACTTGCTGAATAAACAGTTCTGATGGTAGTTAATTAAAAATAATAACTATAAATCATTAAATATATGTCAAAAACAAAAATCTATAAAGAGTAAATTATTTTTTCTCCAAATCATGGCGAAAAAAATAAAATAAAATTAGAATCGGAAAAATATGTCTGAATCAAAACAAAAAACATAAAATAAATATATAAATAAATATAAATAAATATATAAATAATATTCCTTAATATCCCGATCCTTTATCCACAAACCTGGCTATCCACTGAACAAAATGTATTTATATACAGGTCAACATATATGTACAATGTTCATTGCTATTGTACCTGGATGTCCTCTGAACCAAAAGTACACCTTGTAAAACTGGATATACTATGAATCTCTATATTATTTCTAAATATCTCTTATAACCAACTGTATAATTATCCGCCTGTATCTGGGTATTCCCCTAAAACCAATGTATATCCACCTATACCTGGATCCCCCAAACCCCATGTATTTCCATCTACACCTGGATATTCCCCAGAACCCACTTTATACCATTAAATCACTAGATATCTCCTGAATTCAATGTAAATCCGGCTATACCTGGATATCTCATGAACACTATCTATATCCACCTATACCTGGATATCTCCTGAACACTATCTATATCCACCAATACGTGGATGTCCCCTGAACCCCGTGTATACCCACCTATCTCTGGATATCCCCTGAATCCCATGTATATCCACATATACCTGGATATCCCCTTAACCCAATGTATATCCATATCCACCTATACCTGGATATCTCCTGAACCCAATGTATATCCATATCCATTTATACCTGGATATCCCCTGAACCCATTGTATATCCATATCCACCTATACCTGGATATCTCCTGAACCCAATGTATATCCATATCCACCTATACCTGGATATCTCCTGAACCCAATGTATATCCATATCCACCTATACCTGGATATCTCCTGAACCCAATTTATATCCATATCCACCTATACCTGGATATATATCCATATCCACCTATACCTGGATATCTCCTGAAAAGTTTGGATAGTTGAGAGGCATGGTGACTCCAGCTCCCACTGTATACCTGCAACATAAATCAAGTTTATTAAACTTTCAGTATCGGAGGATTTCATCCGGGTTCAGATATGCAATAGAAATTCCGGGGCTCACACAACTTTATTCTATGCTCAGCAAAAGATAAATGTTGGTTCCATAACATATAAATTATTATTTTAAACTCGCTTTTGAGAATATCTTTTGAATACAATATCTAGATAAATATTAAACACAAAAGGCGAAGATTGAATGTCAATCAAACCGTGTATTTTCCCGTTTGAAAGAGCACTGATATCATTCAAATAATATAAAATTGTGCAACGGATATAATTGTTTGCAATATGGACACTGGTGCACAATAATCTACAAAAGGAAACCAAGCTTACCGTCCTCGTTTTAGAACTGCTGTTGCGCTCATCAATGTTTCTGTTCTTTGGTTTACCCCGTCCACTTCCAATAAAACATGGCGGCCGTGTCGGACCACGTGGATTGTGTGCCATTCTCCATTATCCAAACCAAACCCTGGAGTAGATACAGAATTATATCAGAAATATTCAAGTCTTATTATGTTCTTTTAAAATGAGCCTTGGTAAAAATTGGAAATTACTCTTTTTTAAAACTTTCTTGAAAAAAATAAGTGATAAAACTCAAAAAAGAATGAAAAAATGGATAAAGTACATAAAAATGATTACAATTATATGTTACTGTTTCACCAAAAAGGACATGGTAAAAAACCAAAATCCCCATAGCCTGGGTGATATCAATGGACTGTTCCCAAAATTTACCTGAGAGCATGACGGATTCATGTCCATCCATCCTAATGGTTAGAACCAACCCTCCTCGACTTAAAGATATCTCAAGACGATCTGTACTCCAGTCGTCAGATGTACTGAAGATCACGCCACTGGGTTCGATAGTTTTGAATCTGAAGAGTTTTGAAACTTTTATAACTATGCTAATTTCAGAATTGTATTGCTGTTGGGAGAGAAGAGGTCAAAATAGATGAATATAATTTTCTATTTTACCATTATGACATATTTAAAATGTATATCTTATTTTATATATAAATGTTATTCCTTGGACTTTTATCATAAAAAAATCATTGCATAAGAAAACGATCAAGATTATGACAATTACTAATTTTAAACTGAAGCTGAAAACCAGTGCGCTGTAGTTTTGAAATGGACAAGTCCTTGTCTAAGTCTACAAAAAAGTATCAGTAGGTTGTTGTGTTGAAATCAAAGGCAACGTGTTAATGGTCTTAAAATTTTATGAAAACATTCATAGTTCTATATATAGAAGAGACATTATGAAAATAAAATGAAAAGTTAAAGGGACTGTCTTTGTAATTTCAAGTGACCTTCAGTTTAAACAGGGGGCCATGCCCTATATTTTCAACATTTTTTGATCAATAGTTTGTGACAATAATTGAAGTAAATATTCAAAGAGAAAATGATAAATATCTCATCTCTTCTTGATCATAGAATGAATAGAATGCTTGAAAGGGTAAAAATTAATTAAAAATCGCTTGAAAATGACGCCTACATGTCCCTTTAATAACTGAATCTGACCTGATTGAAATATCATCTGCCTCGATATCTGACTGGGCAGATGCCAACACCTTCATATCTTCATGCCCGGTCAAGTGCAGTGTAGGAGTGTCTGTAAAAATCTTATTGTCAATTCATGTTCAGTGTTTACAAAAGAGATGGAGTCTTTGACACAAGTTCTTATTTTCTAATCATATAATTGTAAAACCCAATTTTTATATATTTCAAACTATGATTACTGTTAGATCATATAAACTAAGTTTGAAATATCAATGGTTTATACCACCGATAGCAAAAAAATAAAATTTGAGTTTATATGGCAAAGACGCAATTTCTTTTTTAAAAATGTCTTACATAGAATTGAAAAAGAATATTATTCATATCCCGAAAAAACGTATTGTTACAGAAGTTTAAGATTTGTTATGCAACCAATTTTGGGGATATTTTTGTAATTTTAATAAAAATCAATCCTGCTAATGTCTTTTTCCTATACTATATTAAATGCCCATGATTTTTCCACAATACATTAAAATACAGTATTGTATGAGTAATGGTTTATTTATGGGGGGAGGATATGTTATAAAATGACATGGAAGAATGTGGAAGGGGGAGGGAGGACCTGATTTATTGGCCCTAAATTACAATGTACAAAGGTCTTTGATCTCTTTTCTGAGCGGAAAGAATTCCAAATATGAGGATTGAAGAAGAATCCTTGCTGCCCAAACCAGACTTCTGTATTGAAGATAAATCTTACAAGTAAACACAGAGATTCAACCAAAGGTTTACATTTCATTTCTGTAAAGTCAAAACTCAAAATATGTTTTAAATCAGAACTTTTCTATTTTCATACATTTCAATTCTAAACTTAGGATCAAGTCCCATTTTGACAAACAAAATTGAAAAATAAATGAACCACAACCTACAGCTGGTTAGTTTTTCAACTTGTTCCTTCGGTTTTTATTTTTTTTTATATTTTATATTTTTTAACTTATCCAATTGCAAATTTAGGTATGAAGACATCTTGAAGAAAAGTTTTTAGAATTAAATTTTAAATAGAAGTTCTTATTTTCACCGCAACCTTATTTCCATTTTCAAACCTGGGACTTTGAAATTTTTAACAAATGATATTTAAAGATAGAAATAATGTACATTTTATGTTCAAGCAAAACCAATAAAGATTAAAGAAATAAAGAAAATCGACAAAAATACATTGTTAAAAAACATGTTATCGAATTAATAGAAAAATGGAGACCAACATTGCAAACCGGGTAAAAGGGGGAGAACACTAGCTCGGTTTGTCCATATAGCTTAAGTAAACTCTGAGCTGTTAACCTCGAGTTCTAGTGTTTACAAGATCCTGGGGCCAGATCAGATTTTATATAAGTAAGATTTGTACGGACAGGGTGACCCGAAATAGTTACCATGCTTTCTGATCACTTATAAATCAATCAGTTTATATTTATTGACATTTTTTTCGTCCATGCATAAAGAAATAAACGAATCAATTTGGAAGCTTTTATGGTTTTAGAACACATGTGAAAAAGATAATTTTTCATGCATTTCGGGACATCCTGTTTGTAAGATAAAGTTTACTTTATTGGTAGCGGATAGATAAAACTTTAGCCCCCCCCCCCCCCCCCCCCCCCCCTCCAACCCGTCAGCTCTGATTGGAATAAGTTTTCTGTAAGCATCATGGGAATAACATTTAAGATAAACAACTAAACAAACCATGAGTTTAACGTTAATTGGTCAAAGTTAACATTGAACAAACCAAACAATTTGATTTCCCGAACTAAAAGAAAAATAATTTTAAATAGTGATTATTAAATTGATTTACATCTAGCGTGAGTTATTTACGTTAACATTATGGTATTTTTCTGTGTTTATGGAAATCAAAATGGAGGTCGATGGCTTCCGATTCCACAAACGCTTCGTCATCTTTAATGTGGATATGTTTATCAATTTTAACCTCTTGTACACGTGGGTCCCGTGTATCCGGTTCTAGAACAGTCACAGGAAAACCGGTTCCAACCCTCTACACACAAACCCCCGTGCTGGCACAGCTGATCCTGAACAAAGTAAGTTTTGACACGATTCTTGAATTTTTAAGAATAAATAAAGAGCTTACTGTGCAGGTTCTTTTCGGAGTTGAGCAAGTGAGCAAGATGGAACCTGAAATATACAAAAATAATTGTGACTACAAAATCATAAGACTACCGTGTTAAGTTATTGTTTTAAAAGTCCAGTGAACAATGGAAATTGTGCACGGTACATAAGCTTTCTTATTTCACAGTTTTATGAGCAACACTGTAACAATTTAAATGTCGTGCTTTTTTGGCGTCATTCATTTATCTAATTAAAAAAGTAAGATTCTTAAATCAAAAATCCTGATATTTTTAGTTCTATCATTTCTAAAATGTGGGCTGCATTGTTTGAGCTTTAATTTAATATTTAAAACATTTTGATATGGGTTAAAATTTGTATATGTTAAATAAAAGTAAAATTGTCTAAACAGCTTTGTTTTATTTTTTAAATTAATCTAAAAGGCAGAGATCGTCTAGTGATGAACTATTATTTGGTAGGGGTTTTTTGAGGGGTTTAGGCTTTTAAAAAACACCACAAAATAAAGTCCTATAAAAATAAGGTTCCATCATTTTATGACTATATGTATTCTATAAAAGTTTGCTTTTATTAAATGAAGCAAAATTTGTATCTTAAGAAAGAGATAAACGAACCATATTTTCTCAAAGTGTCCCTGGAGGAACATTAACCTTTTTGAAAAAGTCCCAAAAAAACATATTTAGCCATTTTTTTTTCGTCTGGTTCTCTTGTTCGCAAAAATATAGAAATTTAAAAAATCTGTGGGGGGGGGGGGGTAAAACAATCATTATTTTAAAATTAATCATAAAAATCTGCCAAAATCAAGGGTACGGCTTAAACTTGTTATTTCTCTTTCGCTTGTAATTAATGCAATTTATAATGTATTTAAAAACAAAACGTTTTTTCAAAAGTTTTCAAAAATTTTATGTTGGAAATAAACAGTGTTTATCAAATTAATTGCTATTTTACTTCTTTAGATCACTTCTCAATCATCATATTTGATGGTAAACGCTGTATTTTAGCATAATTGTTATGTATCATACTGTCTAGAGTTATACAAATCAAATAATGCTAAAGAGCTAAAAACAAGATAGAATTTTTAAAATAAATTTTCACATTCGTGAATTTATTTTGATATATTCACTCTAAATTAGATAGATATAAATCTGTTTACAGAACAAGGTATATATACAGATCTATATCTATAGATATAAATCTGTTACAGAACAAGCTATATATACAGATCTATATCTATAGATATAAATCTGTTACAGAACATGCTAGATGAAAATCACGTATAAAATGTCGTACTTTTAATAAAATATGGAAATAAAGCCAATCATGAAGCAGAATTAATCCTCATGAAGGATAGGGCCGAGCCGATATAAATTTAGTAAAGAAGTTTCTCTCTGAATTAGCTAGATCGAAGTGAGATACTGAGTAAGACCGACAATACTCAATAAAATATCATGGATAATGATAATGTTGCAACCCTAGACCTATCAGAGAAAACTAGTTGGCACTCCAATATAGAGAGAAGAGTGTGAGTGAAGGTACAGCTCTAGATATAACCGGAGCAAAAAGTTCCAGCTCCGCGACTATCCCTTCTATCCCTACTCTGTTGCCAATAAAATACAAATCTGAATCCGATATTCAATTTTAGATCCAACTTTATCTACATAGATTTACTCCATGTGGTCTCACCATTGTCCAAAATTACAAAACTGAAAATTTTTGGATTTTAATTAATATTAACATATTATTTTGAGCGTAAATATTTAGTTATAAAATAAGTAATCAAGTTATAAATTCCTGTAAACTCATTGAAATCTTATCATTTTTGAAATTCCTTATTCTAAATGCCTGACAAGAACTTAGGAAAGTTTAATGGTTTCGAATAATGAAAGGTAAGTTGGGAAAATATAAAACATAAAAAATGCAAATTGTCACGTGTTTAGATTACAATATGTTGTTGTTTTCCTTTAAACCATGTAAAGAATCTTGTAATGATCTTTAATTTCACATAACAAAACAAACAATATTAAAAAAGGGGAAAAGCATGCTTTGAAATGATTAGTATTATAAATGCCTCTATACGGTGCAGTGGTTTAAAATTGGTTATCTTATATTTACAAAGAGCTTTGAAAGTTTTCAAGGTTTCAAAGAATATAAATATTTAATATGCATTTGCGCAACACTTATCTGCAATTATAAAGTATAGAAAAATCCGGAACATAAAGTAAATGTCCTATTATCAAAAGTTTTAGGTTTACATAGGAATAAAATTATTTCTGAATGTAGATCTATCTGAATTCAGATGAAAAAGAGAGCTGAGAGAACCATTCTCTTTTCTAATCAGAGTCCAGTAGCAGTGTTCCTGATTTGATGTGATTATAAGGTAGGGATAAACATATAGTTGCCAAGTCCAGACTGTATCAGGAGGGGACAATATGAGACAGAAAGCAAAGCCAGCCCCTTTCTTTATACACTCTTTCATTTAATTTATGAAAAGACACTTTTATAAAAACAAATCCCAGAGTTTGAACAACTTTAATCAGCATTCTATAAACAAAGTAAATAAAAATCTAAAGAAAAAATTAACGAATGGAATGTCTGATTCACAGGGTGGCTTTTAAATCAACTGGTTGAGTAAGAATGAGGAAGATATTGTCTTTATTCTCTCTTAAACAGTTTTGAATTCTCATAATTTAATTCATAGTTCTTTGCATAACTACGCAAGTCACTTTGACAAAAAAACTACAACTCAAAATGATTCAGCTAAACAAAGGAATTGAGTCTTTGCCACAAACTCTGATTTTATAATCCCTATATCTTTGCAACCCAATGTCGCAAATCTTTGATATTTCAAACTTATATTATTTGATCTAACAGAATTCATAGTTTGAAATATCTAAGGTCTACGACATTGGAACCCGAAGATAAAGGATTTAGAAAAGCAGAATTTGTGGCAAAGACTTAATTCCTTTGGATATCACATTGATCCCTGAGTCTTTATCAGACAAAGGTTTTTAAGGTATCGTTTTAAATCGGACATGCTTTACAACTTGAGGTATACAACCACTCTTAGCCTGCAAAGCTGAACGCGAGACAAGTCATGACATTTTGGAATTTTTTATATACGTTTTTTAGAAATTATTTTTTACACAACGTGAGCTATAGAACTTGCTATACTTATAGATATCAGTAGGTTATACAAACAAATATATTTTTATAATAAATGGAGTATTTTCTTAACTTAAGCCATAACTCTAGAAAACTAGATTTCCCACTGTGCACTTCTTAATCTTAGTTCTTTTTATTACAGTGGAGTAAGCTTCATATAAAATAAGAGGCTGTCATGGTGGGTCATGAAAATAAATTGGTAACAAAGATAAAAGAAAAAGATAAAAGAAAAAAGCTATTGAATCAAAAATGCGTTTTCTCGTTTAATGGAAATGTAAGTGTAATTTCAAGTGACCCTCCGTGCAAAGTGGCAATGCCCGATTCACAATAATACCATAAAAAGCTTTCTCTGGTCAAGTATGAATAAGATATCAATGTTTATAATTTTAAAAACTGATTTTTTTCCAATCGTGGTTTCTCTAAGAAAGTTACTTGCGCATTTTGAAAGTAGGAAAACATATAGAAATTATCAGAATTAAATGATCAGATAAAGGTTTCAAGGATACCGTTGTCAATCGGTCATGGTCATATCTGCATGGAGGGTCTTTTGACATTTAACCTTTACAGTCCCTTTAAATGGACTACAACGTCAATTTGTCTAGTTAAAATACTCGTTTTATTCAAAAAGAGTTTTCATTAAAAATGTTTATAATTATATATATATCACTTTTTAAGCAGAGGGATTATCGTTCATTCATAGATTAATTAATTAATTAGCTGATTGATTGTTGATTAATTGATTGACTATACCTGTATCCTGTTTCTCTGCTAGTTCACTGAGTTGAATAGGAAAGCCTTGAACTACAAGATCTCGGACACAACCAACATAACCCTGGGATAGAGTAGCAGACCAAACCTAACACAATTTAAACACATTTATTTTAAAATAGACTTTCAAATTAAGACCTCAGAATATATTAGATTAAAAAGAAATCTATTACTTATAATTCTAATTTTCTAATCCATATTTCTTTGCAGCCTGATATGTAAACCTTTATTATTTCAAATTTGAATATTTCTACAGCATAATTTACAGTTTCATATGTGAATCAAGTTACAAAATAAAAGAAATAAAAGAGTTATCTGTTCCTCTCTCCTAGGCCTAGTGATCCATCCATGAGTCAAATTAAAGATTTAATCACAATAAATATCAGTTTTGTGGGATCATTACTTTTCTGACTGTGTCATATTCCTCGTATTTGAGACATAAAGACAGAAAACGGATAAAAGATAATTAACAATTAAATTACGAATGGATCAACGGTATTTTTAGTTCTATTCAATGAACTCGAAAGACCTATATGGCCAAAAGTCATCCTTATGGTGTGTTTATTTACTTGGGGTGGATGTGGTATCTTGAATATTTACCTGGGGTGGATGTGGTATCTTGAATATCTACCTGGGGTGGATGTGGTATCTGGAATATCTACCTGGGGTGGATGTGGTTCCTTGAATATTTACCTGGGGTGGATGTGGTATCTGGAATATCTACCTGGGGTGGATGTGGTACCTTGAATATTTACCTGGGGTGGTTGTGGTATCTGGAATATTTACCTGGGGTGGATGTGGTACCTTGAATATTTACCTGGGGTGGATGTGGTATCTGGAATATTTCCCTGTGGTGGATGTGGTATCTTGAATATTTACCTGGAGTGGATGTGGTATCTTGAATATTTACCTGGAGTGGATGTGGTATATGGAATATCTAACTCGGCTGTATGTGGTATCTGGAATATCTATCTGGGGTGAATGTGGTATCTACCAGTAGTTTAAATATCTACCTGGGGTGGATGTGGTATCTTGAATATTTACCCGGGGTGGATGTGGTATCTTGAATATTTTGGATGTGGTGACTGGAATATCTACCTGGGGTGGATGTGGTATCTGGAATTCTATCTGGGGTGAATGTGGTATCTACCAGTAGTTTAAATATCTACCTGGGGTGGATGTGGTATCTGGAAAGGAGGAACACCTCCAAGATACATCATACCAAGAAACTAGAATTAAAAAATAATTTGTTGGCGAAAAAAAAAAATTTCTAAGCAAGGTCAACATACCATAGCTAAACCTGCCCGTAAACAATATTTTATATGGTAAAAGGTTTGTTTAATATTTTGAAAGGTACTAAAACTATCATTTTCAGTAGGACACCCTGTACAGCCCAAAAAACAAGGTATTCATTTGATAGGGGTCATTGGTTGGCAAATCAAGTTTGAGCAGAGCCCGCGATTTAAAAAATTCGGGAAAATAGTCGGGTCTAAGCTGTCGTTAGGCCTTATTTACGGCTTGAGCTTTCGGATTTAAGCTGCATCTTATTTTCCACAGAGATGAGTTCAAAAAACCGGTTTAATATTCTATTTGGCGGATTTTCATGGTAGGAATTGGCGCATTCCAGGTTTTGATGAGAATAAGACTCAACATTGCGCCCTATTCTCCACTAAAACCAACCAAGGTCGGTTTTATTTTCATTGGGACTAACTCCTTAAGTCGAGCCGAAGATCTTGCAGCTGTCAATCACGTGACACAAGCTGTCGTCAGAGTTGGGTCGAAGATCGGGTCTTAAAGTTGAGCTTAAGCAATTATGGCTCAAGCCAAAATTTTTAAATCTCGGGCTCTGGATTCCTTCCTACCCAAAAGTGCTATTTACTCTCTCAATCTCATAGTGAAGATAATTGTTTTTTACCTAAATCCTAATATTGTTACAATATAAATCATGATAATTTTCATCTTTAAAGAAGAAATACAACACTTGTATATTGATATATTTGAACCTGAAGAGGTGGTGGTTGCCCAGGTATATTAAACTGATGTTGTTCTCCGTCTAGTAGAATAGTACCCTCACCACCTCGTCGTTCTATCTCAAGATGATGCCATTTACCATCATCCAGCCGGTTCCCTAGAACACAGATATATTTATTTAAATAAACATTTCTGTTAGTCTGTCCGATCATAACTAATGAACTCCTGACCAATTTCTGATCATAAATCATTAACCCCTAGACTAATTTTCCTCAAATTTTGATTGGGGAATTCAGAAAAAGAACGGGATTGATCATAGCCTAGTTTCAGAATTCTAAGTTGTGTGGGTTGACAAATTTAGAGAAACTTTAGCTTCCAGGTATAGCCGGATTTCCAAGCTATTACATAGACATAGAAAAGTCAATACGTCCATCATTTACATAATGATATTTTTTTTAAATGAGAATTTCTATATTTTCGTCAATTGTAATTATCAGGTCAAATACCAGAAAATTCCCTTTAAAAAATCTAGCTTTGGGAATAAATTTAAAGATAAAACTTTGTGACATTTAAAAAATTTAAATGTAAAAAATTAAGAACCAACATGTTTTTATTTTCTCTAATCTAATGTCATGAAAGATAATATTATAAGAATGACAATAAGAAAATTCTAAAAATGCAATTTCCACATTGTTTCACAAAACTTGTTTTTAGACCACAAGATATATAGAACCACAGAATACACATATAGTTGTTAATTAAAGGGACCGTTCACTCATTTGGGTAATTTGAGATATAAATTAGATAGCCTATTAGCTATTCATTGGTATTAGTCTGAGAAAAAGCCGATTTATCATTCAGAATTCCAGCGCAAAGGTATACCTTTGTATAGACACTATTTCATGTTTTTTGTCATGCTTACGAATTTTCAAAATTATAAATATTAAATTAGAAATATGAATATAATAGTTAATTGCAGAAACCTTTATTTTTGTTTAAAATTGTTGTTAAATTGTCTTATTACAAAATATAACCTATTTTAAACATTTGACGGTTTGAGAAGTTTTCTCTGCTTCCCCAGAAATCCCCGTGATTTATTGAAGAGTTGGAATCTAGAAACCGGTTTGTCTGAGAGTAAAAGTCGTCTTTGAATAAACCTGTTAATTTGTTAAATCACATTTGAACACGAAAAAACGCTAATTTCTTGCAAATTCTGAAATCAAAAGTTTTTATATTTTATTTCATAATGGCTGACACATGATGTCATTGAAATATGATCTTTTAGATTTTATTGGTCCGTTGTTACTGAAAAAATAGTGTCTACGCAAAGGTATCATATCTCCTTTCCTTTCCGGTCATAGATATCTCTGAAAAGTAAGACTAATATCAATGAAAAGCTAATAGACTACTTAATTTATATCTCAAATTACCCAAATAAGTGACCAGTCCCTTTAAATTCTAATATTGCAACAAACTAATTAACAAATTCTTATAGTGCCCTTTTAAAAGCAAGTCTTGTTTGCTCATTATTTGCAACCTGATGGTGTAAACCTTTGATATTTGAGACTCGGCTCAAATTCATAAAATTCGGACTCTAATGGTGTAAAACTTTGATATGTGCTCAGTTTCTTATGAAATATAGTTATATGTTTTTGGTTTTAACTGCTTGCGCCACCAAATTGACTGATTTCTTTTAGAACTGGCGGTGACATAGGCTTTTTAAAAAAAAATCAAGTTTTGTATTTTTACAAAAATCGATTTTTTTCTTCAAATTCAAAATTTATTTTTCCAATGTGTTTTAAAAATTAACCGGGCAACGCCGGGCACTTCAGCTATTAAAAAACATAAATATATCACATAAGAGTCTTATTAACTTTTGCGAGTGTAAAATTATTCTACAGTATTAATTATGTAAACAGTATAAAGTGCAACTTCAATTATTCCTCGCTAATTAAAGTCTGTATAATGGAAACCCGTCAAATCTACACAAATTAACTTTTTGACAGAAATTTAATGGATTCATTGAATATCCAGCGACACTATTACAGGGGAATATAAAAGGGAATTCTGGATATCTCTTTATATATTTATTTTTAGTCACGATGGAAAAATGATCTCTGTTATAAACAAATTAACAACGATCTGTTGAATCATATTGTTGGAATGTTCAAGATATCGTACAAAGCTTTAAAGGTAGATTTGTAAATCAGACATTCCATACCATTGAAATTCACTTTAAATTACGTCTCCAGTCCCTTCATTGGACCTTAATCCTCCAGTGAGGAAACCTACCTTGAATGAACCCTAATCCTCCAGTGAGGAAATCTACATGAAATAGACCCCAATCCTCCAGTGAGGAAATCTACATGAAATAGACCCCAATCCTAAACTGTAACGGACCCTAATCCTCCAATACAGGAACCTACCTTTAATGTTTCCCAATCCTGTAGTGAGGAAATCTACCTTTCATGAACTCCAATCCTCCAGTGAGGAAATCTACTTTAAATGAACGCCAATCCTTTAGTGACGAAACCTACCTTTAATGTTTCCCAATCCTGTAGTGAGGAAATCTACCTTTCATGAACTCCAATCCTACAGTGAGGAAATCTACCTTTCATGAACTCCAATCCTCCAGTGTGGAAATCTACTTTTAATGTTACCAAATCCTACAGTGAGGAAATCTACCTTTAATGTTACACAATCCTACAGTGAGGAAATCTACCTCAAATGGTCTCCAATCCTCAGGTGGGGAAACCTACCTGATATTCTAATCTTGACATGTCCTGTCCCCAGATTATAATGAAGGTAGAGGTGACTAGTAAACAATTCCACTCCAAAGAAATGTCCACTCTGAAAAGAATAAAGATGAATAAAGTACTCCCTCTGTATACCCTCGGAATAAAGTACTCCCTCTGTATACCCTCGGAATAAAGTACTCCCTCTGTATACCCCCGGAATAAAGTACTCCCTCTGTATACCCTCGGAATGTAAATCAATAAGATAACAGGGAAACCGCATTTTCAGAACATATTCCCAGAGGACTTTTCTCATATTATACTTGATAACAAGTCTACAAACTTTCAGTCTGCTTGGGGCAAACCTTGAGACAGAGTCACAAAACTTGTCAAATAATCCATTGCCTTATTATAATTGAGAATATTTGAAAATTTGTTTCATGATAACTATAAGAAGATATTGGGGTCAGAAGTAATTTAGTTTTATCGAAGCAATTGGGTATTATTAAAAACTTTCAAGCAGAGAAAACTGGAAAATTGCACAAAAACTAATGTTTTATTACCTGCCCTGGACAATAGAGCAAGGTTCCACTATGTTCCAATGTCCGTATTCTTAAAGATATCTGGCTACGTCTTTCATCAGTAAACCCTGGAACTGTCTAAATTATAAAAATGTTTTTTGATTTTTGCTTGATCCAAAAAAAAAAAATAAAGATACATTTTATGGAAAATTAAAGAAGCTATAGCTAATAGGGCGCTTTGTATCCCTCTTTTTAGAACTGTCTTTAGGTTTTGTTGTTGAAAATATTTGTAAGCTTTTCTGTAAATTTTGAAGTAAAAATTTCGCGTTTTTGTCGGTTTTTACACATAAATTTCCAAAAAATTTAAGAAGTCGAAATATTTTGTTTTAGAAGATATTCAAAACTAACGAGAAAGCATAAAAAGAGGGTGTAAAAAACAAAAAAGGAAAAAAGCTAGTTTGGAAAATCAAATGAAAATATACACCCCTGAATTAAAACATATCAATTGTTGGGCCGGCCATTTATACAATAGAAATTGGGCAACAAAGGATTTGCTATCTTACAAAAGGATTAGGGAGTCAAGATGTTAAAATATTATTATATTTCTAGGCCACCAGGATGCAATAAAACATTGCAAGGAATAAATAATTTTTTAAGTTTAAAAAACTTAAATGATACTAAAAACTGTAATTTTGAGCACATACAAAACATGTCATTAACAGGAAAGCTATCAAATCAAAACATATCGAATATATCGTCACAAAACATATACCAAACGAGAAAACATAAAAAAATATTAGATACAATTTAATAACTTATCAAACACTAAATTTCTTAAATAATTGCAGAAAAATATATCTTGAACAAGTAAATACAAAACATACCAAATACAAAACATATTGAGTGTAAGAAAAAATTAGAATACAAATTATCACATAATTCATTATCACGTTATCATGTAATTATCAATACAATTTAAAAATTAGTTTCTAACACTCACCAAGAAAGCATTAGGACGAGTAAATGTTATTGCTCCACTTGATGAATCCTCATAAAAGTTTGTCTGAACAAAAATTAGTTTTAAACTTTTGAACGAGAGAGAAATTAGAAAGAAAGGTAGATATATAGACACATAATTTAATGGTATACAGTAGTCGCCAGAATAAACTGGACAGCGATATAAACACACTTTGTTGTTATATGGTATATGTTATTTGGAACATGGACAGTGGACACAGAAATAGAGATTCATGAACACACAATTAGAGGTTCATGAACACACAATAAGAGGTTCATGAACATACAAATAGAGATTCATGAACACACAAATAGAGGTTCATGAACACACAGATAGAGGTTCGTAAACACACAAATAGAGGTTCATGAACAAACAGATAGAGGTTCATGGGCACACAAATAGCATAAACACACAGATAGTGGTTCATGAACACTCAGATAGAAATTCATGAACACACAAATAGAGGTTCATGGACACACAGATAGAGGTTCCTGAACACACAAATAGAGGTTCATTAACACACAGATAGAGGTTCATGGGCACACATATAGAGGTTCATGGATACACAATAGAGGTTCATGGACACACAGATAGATTCCCTGATCAGAGAGAAAATGTCAAGATGTGAATACCAGGGGATATTTCTTCATTGACAGCTTCTCACAACCAACTTCAAGAATTGGTAAAATAGATCATTTTTACCGTCACACTATCTAGAATCTATATCTTGATAATATTCTTCATGTTGGATACTGTCAGACTAAAATGAAATATTCTTCAATATTCAAGCGCTTTGCGCCCCTGTTCCACAGTTGTCTTAATAAACATGGGAAATGAGGGACGACTTAAAAATCGTCTTTAATTTCCAATAATTAATAAAAGGAAAAAAAATTAAATCTATTGAGTTTTCCAAAATGAGGTCTACCTTCTTTATATTTTAAAATTTTACCGAGATTTGAACAGTTTTGTTGAGCTTTAATAAAATGGAATCTGAACAACGATCGAGTCTTTGTCACAAACATTGATTTTCTATTCCCTATATCTTTGTAATCTAATGTCGCATGTTTACATTGTTAGGTTGTTAAGGTATAGTGATATAAATTTTTAGCCTGGCAAAAATTCCTTTCCTAATATCTCCGTCAACTTTGAAGGTAAAAATTGGTAGACCACATTTTGGAAATCCCTAGACTAGTAGTTTTCGGTTTCTTATTTTTTTACTGTGATACTACAAAATTATGTTTACGAAATAATCCTGCATGGGACAAAGACGATATAGAAGTCGTCATTTAATTCTCATGTTTATCAGGACACAGTTTAATCTCTTAATTGTTTATTGTTAATTGTCATTTGTTCAATGTACTTTTAAAAAAAGCCTTGACAAAACAAAAAACATTTTAATCAATTAAGTTTCTTGAAGTCACCACGTACACCACACAGCCGAATAAGAAATACATAAAAAAATTAACCTGCAAACTAAAAAATATGAAAAATTGTTGAAGATTGAAATTCTTATCAGATTGTGCTCCATATTTTTATACTTTCTCCAGGTATATACAGTAGAGCATGCAATACAACCAAGTTCTATACTCCAGAGTATAACCATTAGAAAGTTTAAAAATGAAGAAAAAAAAACTAATCTAAGTTTGCAACAGGGGGTGCACATTGCAACCTTAATACTGTTTTTCTCAAGAATTCTCACGGTCTGCAATTCCATTAGGAGCCTTTGGAAACCACGGATGCAAAAAGTCATTCGGCAACAGTTATTAAGAAATAGATTAACTTTTTATATTTCTGAGCTGGGGTGGAATGGCCAAATAAAACTCAACAAATCCCATTGAAGATCCTCCTAGAAGATCCTACAATAGGAAAAGAAAAAGAACACATCTCTCTGTCTCTGTCCTGTTCTGATTAACAAAATTCCGATAAAGATATTTTCTGAATTATTTTTGTTTCTCAAAACATTCCGTCTTAAAGAGGCTGTAGTTTAAATTTGGGAAATGAAAGAGAAAACACATTGCAATTAAATAAGTTAGGAATCTATCTGTAACATCTCAAAAATAATGAGCAAAATGAGTGTGAATAGATAATTATAACTTTTTTCCGATATAGTTTCTAAAATCTTTATAAAAAGAAAATTCAAATCTACAAAATATTGCAAAATCAGTTCCTAGTTCCTTCATTTCCTAATTATCACCCTAAACTCACAGTTGGCACACAATTTGAAATTAAAATGAATTCTGTTTTGATCAAATATGAAAGATATAAAACTAGAGTTTGATGCGAATGTTGAGTCAATTCCTTCGATTAACAGAGAACAAAAGTACATATGTACATTTTTATATCTATACATTTTAGAAGAATATATTATGGTGTGTATTAACGAGGATATAAAACATTAATGCAGACAAGAACTCATCTAAGCGTATTCCAATAAAAAAGAATAAATGCTTTTATATTTAGAGTTTAGACATAAAAAACTAAACTCCCCAACCTAGCTT